TACAGAGAGAAAGGGAGAGGGATAGAGAGTTAGAAACATCGATCAGCTGCCTCCTGCACATCTCCCACTGGGGATGTGCCTGCAACCCAGGTACATGCCCTTGACCGGAATCGAACCTGGGACCTTTCAGTCCGCAGGCCAACGCTCTATCCACTGAGCCAAACCGGTTTCGGCTATTTTTATTGATTTTTAACAATCTGTCTGTAAAGACCAAATTTCCAGCTCTGCAGATTATGAGGTTGGTAACTTGGCTTCTCAAGCCTCAGTTTTCATGCCTAGAAAAGGGGCGTGCACATACAGACCTGTTGATTTTTCATTTCCTTTGGCCGGTGGGTCGTGCTCCTCGGCCTCTGATGAGCCCGGAGGGCAGGGGTGTCGCCAGCAACCCCAGTGCCCTCCTGACCTGTCACCGGGGAGCCCGGCAGGCACGTGTGACCCCTGCGCACGGGGTGCAGAACGGAATAGCCCAGAGAGCCCCCGAGCCTGGGAAGGGTGTGGACGAGAACCTGTTCTATTTTTATTGATTTTTTTTTTAAATATATATTTTATTGATTTTTTACAGAGACAGGCTGACCTGAAGCCTTGCACGGACTCCGACGCTCTCGGGCCCAGCGTGTCCTGGGGGCCGGCACGTAGCTCAGGCTGCTGGCGTCAGTGTCAGTGTCGACGAGGGAGCCATCTGCCTGGAGTTAACGTGCCTCTGGCCGGGCGGTTTCCTTGGTTTTAAACAAACCTTCGTGTTTTGGGGGGCTGTTTTGTGCATTAGCGCCCTCGGTCCTGCCTCCGGGAAGATGGGAGCCACAGACGCTGTTCCGGAACCGCAGAGCTGGCCGGGGCGCTTCTGAGCGCAAATCCAGTCGGGGCTCGGCTGTGCCGGGGGCTGTCCCGCCATGTGCCTGTGTTCGAGCCTGAGCCCAGCCCCTCCGCCTGCGACTGCCCTTGGAGGCGGGGTCTCCAGGGGGACTTAGCTGAGACGAGGCCACGGTGCCCCTAATCCCGGCGACTGGTGTCCTTACAGAGATGAGGACACAGGCACGCACAGAGGGCCCACCCTGCTGTCCACACACCAAGGAGAGGCCTCCGGAGGGAGGGGAGGGAGAGGGGGAGGGGGAGAGAGTGGGAGGGGGAGGGCCCGCCCTCCCACACCTGGTTCTGGACCTCCGGCCTCTGGGATGGGGGTGGGGGGGGGCGGCGTTCATGGTTAGGCCCCGTCTGGGGTGTAGCAGCCCAGCCAGCTCATGCACAAGGAGTCACTCCCGTGTGACCTCAGAGCCCAGCCAGGGGCCGGTGATCCCACCCATTTCAGATAGAGAGACTGAGGCAGGAAGTGGCTCGGGCACACTGTACCCACGTGGGCAGCTTTCAGCTCCTGGTTCCACACCGCGGGGCTAGGCGGAGGGACTAAGGGAAGATGAGGCCCACGTGGGACGCTCAAAGGGAAGGGGAGCGGCGTGAGCGTGAGGCTGGCCTGGGGTCGGCGTCCAGTGGGTGCCACACAGCCAGCGTCCCTGTCTCCCTTCTCTCTCGCCAGCGGGCATGGCTGAGCGGGGAAGCAGCTCCGGGAGGTCAGGGCTGCAAGTTCAGGTTCCCCGGCTGCAAAGGGCACGGCGGCCTCTGGCAGTTTGCAACGGACGGGCTCTTTGAAGCGCATCACCTGACTCCAGAGGTGGGGTCACCCCTCTTCCATGAGGACACTGGTATTGGGTCACCCCTTTTCCAGGAGGACACTGGTATGGGGTCCCCCCTTTTCCAGGAGGACACTGGTATGGGGTCCCCCCTTTTCCAGGAGGACACTGGTATGGGGTCCCCCCTTTTCCAGGAGGACACTGGTATGGGGTCCCCCCTTTTCCAGGAGGACACTGGTATGGGGTCCCCCCTTTTCCAGGAGGACACTGGTATGGGGTCCCCCCTTTTCCAGGAGGACACTGGTATGGGGTCCCCCCTTTTCCAGGAGGACACTGGTATGGGGTCCCCCCTTTTCCAGGAGGACACTGGTATGGGGTCCCCCCTTTTCCAGGAGGACACTGGTATGGGGTCCCCCCTTTTCCAGGAGGACACTGGTATGGGGTCCCCCCTTTTCCAGGAGGACACTGGTATGGGGTCCCCCCTTTTCCAGGAGGACACTGGTATGGGGTCCCCCCTTTTCCAGGAGGACACTGGTATGGGGTCCCCCCTTTTCCAGGAGGACACTGGTATGGGGTCCCCCCTTTTCCAGGAGGACACTGGTATGGGGTCCCCCCTTTTCCAGGAGGACACTGGTATGGGGTCCCCCCTTTTCCAGGAGGACACTGGTATGGGGTCCCCCCTTTTCCAGGAGGACACTGGTATGGGGTCCCCCCTTTTCCAGGAGGACACTGGTATGGGGTCCCCCCTTTTCCAGGAGGACACTGGTATGGGGTCCCCCCTTTTCCAGGAGGACACTGGTATGGGGTCCCCCCTTTTCCAGGAGGACACTGGTATGGGGTCCCCCCTTTTCCAGGAGGACACTGGTATGGGGTCCCCCCTTTTCCAGGAGGACACTGGTATGGGGTCCCCCCTTTTCCAGGAGGACACTGGTATGGGGTCCCCCCTTTTCCAGGAGGACACTGGTATGGGGTCCCCCCTTTTCCAGGAGGACACTGGTATGGGGTCCCCCCTTTTCCAGGAGGACACTGGTATGGGGTCCCCCCTTTTCCAGGAGGACACTGGTATGGGGTCCCCCCTTTTCCAGGAGGACACTGGTATGGGGTCCCCCCTTTTCCAGGAGGACACTGGTATGGGGTCCCCCCTTTTCCAGGAGGACACTGGTATGGGGTCCCCCCTTTTCCAGGAGGACACTGGTATGGGGTCCCCCCTTTTCCAGGAGGACACTGGTATGGGGTCCCCCCTTTTCCAGGAGGACACTGGTATGGGGTCCCCCCTTTTCCAGGAGGACACTGGTATGGGGTCCCCCCTTTTCCAGGAGGACACTGGTATGGGGTCCCCCCTTTTCCAGGAGGACACTGGTATGGGGTCACCCCCTTTTCCAGGAGGACACTGGTATGGGGTCCCCCCTTTTCCAGGAGGACACTGGTATGGGGTCCCCCCTTTTCCAGGAGGACACTGGTATGGGGTCCCCCCTTTTCCAGGAGGACACTGGGATGGGGTCACCCCCTTTTCCAGGAGGACCCTGGTATTGGGTCACCCCTTTTCCAGGAGGACACTCCTGGGTCAGCTCAAAGTCAGACCTGACTCAGGCCGGACACAGCACGGGGGGCACCTGCAGGGTCCCCACTGGTGGGGGCGGGGAACTCCCCAGAGGGGAGGGTCAGAGTCTGCCCAGTGGCCTCGCTTCCCAAGATGCTCCCCAGGCCGGGAAGCAGCCCCGCCCACGGCCGCATGCCCGAGGGTGGGCCTGACTCACTCGGAGTCAGGCTGGTAAGCTGGACAGTGGCCCTGACCTCACAGGGCTGCCCCGCACAGCGCCCGGGTCTCGGTGGCAGCGATGGAGAGTCCCGCATCGGGGATACAGCAGCACCGTGGGCGGGTGGCAGGCTGACGCCTAGCAAACGCGGGCCAGACGCTGTCAGGCGCCAACAGCCACGTCTGCCGCCCGCCTGCCCCAACAAAGGGCTCCGTGTCCCCTGGCTGGAGGGTGTCACAGCTTTCTGAGCACAGCATAGTCTCAGGGGGTGGGGTACCCTGTCCACAGAGCTGTCACCCCATCAGCATCGCTGTGACTAGGGCTGCAGACAGGGAAGCGAGAGGCGGGGGCCCTGAGAGGCGAGGGCCCTGGTGCAAGCAGGAGTCCAGGGGAGGGAATTCTGGGAAGGTTTCCGAGTGACCGGCTGCCTGTCTGCCCGCTGCCCGCTGCATGGACACCTGTTCTGAGCTGGGATTGCATGCGAGAAGCCGGGGACACCGCAGGGCCTGCGCGGCTCCGAGTGCAGGCTCCGGTTCCCGTCTCACCACCCGGGCAGCTGTCAGGTCCCCCAGAACCTCGCTCCCTGCTCCCCCCTCAGGGCAGGGCACAGCCTGGGACCCCCTGTGAGACCCCCAGGAGTCACCTCGACCCTGGAACCAGGTCCTGCCCAGGCTGCGGTGTCCCTCCCAGGAGCCCTCCCCTGCCCCTCTGAGCGGGCACCCACCACACCTGCCCAGGTGCGGCCTCATGGAGCTCCCTCCCTCCTTGGATGGCACTCAGGGCCCTTCTCTGTGGACCTCCCGTGTCTCCCTCCCCTGCCTGGCACTACCACCTGGCGTGCCTTTGGCCACCTCAGACTGGACCCTCTCTGGACTCCTGCCTCTCCCAGCCCCTCAGTGCCCCTTCTCACTCTATTGGAGGGACCACATGAAGGCCTGCGTCCTGCACTGGGGTGGGGTGCAAAATGGGGGCTGCCCCAGGCCACACTGACGTCAGAGCCCAGCCTGCAGTCCCCCCTTGGCTTCCAGCCGGCACCCTCCCCCAAACGCCACTGCC